GAAAAAGAGAAAAGCTCCAGTGTTTTGTGCGCTGGGTGCAGTACTGCTATGCTGCCTGCAGGGCGGCGCTTCAACAGTTTGTAAGTAATTCAATTAATTGTATTCATGTAGCACCAACTCACAACACGTCATCTCAAAGCACTTTATAAAGACAATTCAACCAGATCATACCGTCAGATTGATTCAAAGTTTACTATTTAAGGAAAACAATTTGATTGCATTGTCTCATTAACTCAAAAGCAACCCCTCACACCAAGCATGCTTGTAGTGACAGTGGAGAGGAAAACTCCCTTTTAATAGGAAATAACCTCCAGCAGAACCAAGCTAAGTTTGAGTGGCCAACTGCAGAGGCAGACTAGGATTCAAGGAGACAGAAGCAGACATAGAAAAAAAGTATAGATACAAAAGGCAACTGTCAACCAGCTTCTAAGGCGGCCCCGTCCAAGAAACACACAGCCAAGCAGACGAGCTCCGAGCCAGCTCATATGTCAGAGGATGAAGAGAGCACATCCAGCCAGCCACAGTCAGAGAAACAGGACTACACTGAAAAACAAGCCGAGCTCCAACAACTTTAAACAAAGCTGTTGATGGCAGCAGCACAGCTGATATTTCTCTCCAGGATAGTGTCACAGCCAAAAAGGAACAGACCAGAAGAAGTCACAGAGATTATACTTGATAATGATAATGACACTTTTTTTTTTACATGTTGACCAAGTCAGAGAACTTTTGGTTTAAGATTTTGTGCACAGTTGTTAAATAAATGAGATTTATATTTTTTTAAGAAAAGGGAAGTCAAATCATATGCTCAGAAGAAAGATCCCAGTTTTTTTTTTTTTTCACACAATAAAACCATTTTTTAGCTAATAATTCAGTACCGTTTTTGATATCGGTATCGGCAGACATTAAACTTCAAATATCAGTATGGTATCGGAGGTGAAAAAAGTGGATCGGTGCATCCCTATACTGTATTTAGATTTTTTTGCTTTTTTTTTTATTGCTCTGATGTAAAGCTCAAATTTCAACAAAAACAGAATAATAGGTTTTCATCACTCTAAACCTAAGGCTTAAAAATGAATGGTAATAAACAATTAAAACTCATCACTTTGTGTGTAATTAACTCATTTAACTTACTGTCAATTTTTTAAATATTTATTCTTTCAAATCTAACTGTTCAATTTTAACAAAGCTTCCTTAGTCATTGATTTTCTCATTCTAATTGGTAATTTCTTCCTTTTTTTTAATTACGGGATAGCTCACCATATCTCCTCCCCTTCCCAGTGCCCTGTACATTTAGTCTCTCTAAACACCTGGTGCAGAATAACTCATGCCAGAAGGAAAGATTTTCTGGCTTCATCACAGGAGGGGAACTGTTTTATATGTCTGGCAGCAGAAGTTTGTTTGAAATAGAATTGAATGAAGAGGCAATTTGGAGGGGCTCATATAGCCACCATGGGAGGACTGAAAATAAAAAGAAGCTTTGTATAAAGAGCTGGAATCAGTTCCTCGTTTATCAACTGCATCAATGAAGGACGTTGGGTAAATTATTTTATAATTAATGTTTTTTGTTTTATTGGTAATAGTACACCTGTTTACCACCTTAAAATTTGTTGCAGATCTTTTTTTTTTTATGTTTCTTGCTCCTGTTTTAACTTTGTATTAGTTTCTAATAAAGAATCAGTGTCGCCAAAGTTAGTTATATCTTCACATTCAAAAGTCTTTAAACCTTTTCTTAGTCTTGTATGTGTGTTTTTTTTTTTTTTTTTCAGATGAGGTGCCGGTGTTCACAGAGGAGCCTGCTTCTGTGGTGCAGAAGCTGGGAGGCAGCGTCCTGCTGCGCTGCAGCGCCCGACCCGCCTCTGCAAAACTCAGCTGGCGTCTCAACGGCATGCAGCTGTCCAATGGCGATCTGGGCTTGGTGCTGGAGCCGGGCAGCCTGCTCATCCCCACTTTAACCAACCTGACTCTGGGCAGATACCAATGTGTGGCCAGCACCGGCGCTGGAGCTCTGGCAAGTGTGCCTGCTAACGTCACCGCTGCCAGTGAGTAGCCCACACAAAACCGTGACAGACAAACACACAGGCCTCTTTATGGTTTGTCAGGGTACCCAACCGACTCCCTTGGGTTGAGTTTCCTCAAGTAGAACAAAAACAGTGAGGAGGTGGTTTTTGTTTGCTGAAAATCTCCATTGTAAACTCTGTACTTTTCCAGTGGTTATACAGCCTGTCTGAATCTCCTCCCCATTGAGGACTTAAGTCATCTGAAGTTCCAGTTCTTACAGAGAAAATCTGATGAGAATTACTCCTTCTGTGTAGTTTGACCCAACAGCTGCTTTCATGCTGCATCATATTGATGTAATGGTTAAAATAAATGATTCCTCATGCTTTCAGTGCTTGGCTGCACCAAGTCTGCACTTTTATATTTGATATGCATCTTGGGACTGAGTGAGGGCCTGAAACTGTGAAACATGAGCTTTAGGAATGGAGGGGACCCTGGGGCAGAGGGAAAGAAGGGACCGAGGCACACAGTTGGGGCCGTCTACCTCCATTGGCTCCTTTTTTTTTTGCCTCTCACAACTCCACATTCCACTCCACGGGGCTCGACAGCAGGCCTGTTCAGAAATTACGGCCCCATTATCGGGGAAAGGTCTGGAGGGAGATAAGGAGTGTGTGTGAGGGTGGGATGGGAGGTTGAAGGGTATGAGTTTAGGCAGGGCTGCTGTTAACAGTATTGTTTTACATGCATAGATGTGATTGATGTTTAAAGTTGCCTCAACTTGGGAAGCTTAGGGTGTTTTTAGGCCAGTCGAGACAAGATCCTGACAGGAGATGAGAGGAGATGTCACACTCACACTTTCACACCTCTCTCTCTCTGCACATTTTTCACTCTTTGTGTCACTTTCAATCCTCTGTCTTGCATTAATTCCTTTAATGAGGAATTCACGTGGCAGAGCAAAAGAATGTATTAGATGAGTTTGAAGCATAAAGCAGGCATTGCTTGGTTTTCAATTCTTTTCATTAAATAAATATAAATATGCATTTGTTTCCTCTCTGATGTATGCCTCTAACAGATTTTGCCTTTTTTTTTTTCTTGGCAAAATATCTGAAACCGTATTAGATCAAACCAAATCTCTTAATACCATACATCAAAAAGTCCTTCCTTTGGTTTCATAGGTTCTGACATCTTAGGTCTGAGTGCTTTACCTTTGCTTTTTTTTTAGGTGATGGATTGAATAAACTTTGCATAATGTTGTAGAACCTAATCCTACTTTTGACTTGTCCAAAAAAAAAAAAAAAAGTTAAAGGGGTATCAGTGCTTTAGTGGAGAGCTGCACACAGTCACTGGGGTTTGAATGTGTGTAAACGGTGCTGGGAAAACCAGATGTGAAGCTGGGCTCTTTCTAAAAGAACATCTCTAATTTAATAACGGTTTTCCTCGGCCACCCCGGGATCGCCTAAGGAATCGCTCCATGGGGAGCCAGTACGTGCTTTCCTTCTTCCCTTCTCTCCCGAGTCCTCTTAGCTGTATGCACATGTTTTTTGCGATCGAGTAGGTCGATTCCAGACCCTCTGAACTATCCAAATCCGCCCCCCTCCTCCATTTCTTTTTTTTTCCTCTCTTTGGCTCGACTTTAAAAGCTTGAATTCCTGCACTGACAATCAACCCCGCCGTATGTCTGCGCAACACGTTGCACAAACATGTTCAAATTCAGAGGCGAAATCACAGGCAGACCTCCTGCTGCTACGCATAAAGATGATGAATACACTGTCTCTTCTTGAAATATTTTTCATAGGCCCTGCCAAGCTGCCCTGGTGTGGGAGGTCTGCTTTAACTTTATGCATACAATCAATCCTCTGTGCATGCGGGATGCTCCCACAAAAACTTCACACACTCACCTGAGAGGTATTTAGGAGGGGATGTTTCTGTGAAGAATGAGGGACATGGGAGTTGAGCGGTGGGTTAAAAGGTGTAACAGGGGGAGTTTTGGAGAAAGAGGAGGATGGTGGGATGGGTAGATATAAAGGCTGGGGCTGTAAAAACAGCACCTGATTGATTTAGCAAATGGAGCGCCGCACACACCGCTAGAGCTTTGCATGCCCCGGCTTGGATTCCCATCTTTCAGAATCAGCGCTGACAGAGTCTAAGATGGAGCTGTTGGGGTGTGTGTGTGTGTGTGTGTATACCCTGATCTGCTTCCCTCCATTTCTCCCATTAAAGCTCCTCCAGATGCAGGCAGGGGGTTGAGCTCCAGCACGAATGGCAGATTAATCAGCCGCTCTGCTGTGATTCGACATCATGGTGGAAACCGTAGCTCTGATTGAGACATTCATTTTTTTTAGTATATAACTCTGATCAGCCCTTGTTTTTTTTTTTTTTTCTTGTCCTATTTCAGATTTTTTTTTTCTCTCTTTTTTGCCAAAGTGTATGGTCGGTCCAAGAAAAACACGCCAGTTATAGCACCTCTGGAAAGAACGGAGAGCCTGTGTTTGTTAAGAATAAATCAAAAAGAACTGGTAGACGTTTAATTATGCTCCACAGAAGTTGTATTTATCTTTCATTTTTCATTTCTTGAAATCCCTCTTGACGAGTTTCCCCTGTTTAAGCTTTCTCCCTGCCCTCTGTCTTCCCTCTGCTTTAAATTTCTGGGGTTATGTTTTGTTCCGGCATCTTAAGAGCAGAGCTGCGCCACTTCCTCTCAAACCCAAACTGGATCTCTGCATCTGTAACTCTACTCTCTCACCTTTGACCCATCCTGCTCAGCCCTCTGGGCCGCTCAGGCAGGGGTTCATATGGGGGGGGTCAGGGGGTCGGATGAGGATCTAGGCCTTGCAGACTCTGTGTCTGCAGGGACCCAGTCGTAGCACATGGCTCCAGTAATCCGGCTCCCACGTTTCCCACAGACTCCGAATCAGTTCCAGTCCCGATTTGATGTCGGACGGGATTGATGAGACCTCCTCGAATGTTGCTGAGATGTTTTTTTGGCTCTCGGGTGAAACTCTTTTGATTACAAGGGGGAAAAAAATAGGAAGCCAGAGTGATTTTTATGAAATGCCAGTAAGTTTGACTGAAACGCAAAGTGGGAAAGAAGAGAAACAATGAGGTTGCAACACAGCAGAGGGGGACTGCTATTACAGACACTCAGCAATGGAGACAGAGCAGTTATTATTGTTCAAAATATTGTGGTTTTCTGCTTCTCAAACTGAGGACTGACTGTGTACATCTGCAGTCAGATGACATTATGCCGCTGAAAAGAGGCTGCTGTGTAACTTTATGACCGTCTTCCTAATTGTGTTTTTGCAGAGCTGCGGGACTTTGAGCCCGAAGTCCAACAGGAGATCGAAGTCGACGAGGGCAACACAGCCGTCATCGAGTGTCACCTCCCTGAGAGTCAGCCTAAAGCTCAGGTCCGCTACAGCGTCAAACAGGAATGGCTGGAAACCTCCAAAGGTAGCGCTCCCTCATTCTCACCCTACTGATTCTTTAACTGTCTCCATCATTTACAGGAATGCTGTAATCCTCCCCTCTGACTGCTTCATAAAGCCTGCGATAAGGCCGTTATCTGGGGAATGTTGTAACATGGGAATGCAATTGTTTATTTTTCAAACGGTTTAACTTGGAAGTCTTTTAAAGGAGGAGAAAAGGCTCCGTCGGTTTGTCACTGGTATGCTGATGATGCCTGGGAGCTGTAGGTACTATTATCTGCCTCTTATCTGCGAGGAGATGAAAACCACTCTGTCAAAAGCTGGCAGATGGCTCAGACTCGAGGGCGCCACTCGGTGGCCTTTTCCAAGAGCACAGCTATGTAATAGAATGGCTCTAGGGGCTCATGTTACAAACGTAAGTTTTGCAACGTGGACTGTTTTTGTTTTTTTTATCTTTTCTTTTCTTCTTTGTCATTTCAAAATTTCCTAATGTATTTTCAGCTGCCTTTGTGCTTTAATGACTGGAGAAGCCAAGTAAACAAACCCTGACCACAGAGTAAATTAACTGCACCAAACACAGCCATAAATCAAATTGATGGTTGCCAGTTGCACATTTTTGTCATAACTGTTGCAAGATATAAAATACAGTAGTCATATGGGGATTAAAATACATCTTTGTGCTCAGATGTGCCAAATTTTGCATTGAAAGCGCAGATTTTGGACGGCTATATTTAATCTGTAGCCATCTAAAAGATCAAATGTTTATGTACAATAACACGACTTGTCAAAAAACTGTTCAAATCCACAGGGTTGTCTTATATCTGCAAATATACCAAAACAAGGAAATCCTCCAGGTTACATCTCCTTTATAAAACAGATAATACCATTAAGCAAAAATGTAGAGCTGTACCATAAAATAAAATATCTACACACTTTTTAAAAGATTAGGTTTCCTTTCTTGTCTCAGATTGTTAAATCATATGATAATTTGTACCATTCGTTTAGGAGCTTTAAGAGTTTTATGATTTTTCTTGATGAATCGGTAAAATAATAAGAATTGGCCTTTTTAAATACCTTTAGCATAACAGTGGTTAATAACATAGAGCTAGTAAAAAAGGTTCTAGACTTGAAAAGTTTGGCTTCTTGTTATGTAGTGAATTGTTTAGAAGTAGCTGCCTAAAGGTTCAACAGAAATGTAGGTAACTTGGTTCACTTTAATTTGATGGCAGTGAACACAAGTCGTCCTCCCTCAGTAACCACCTTCACTCTGAAAAGTGTTGTCGGTGCGGCCTGGGAAGTCCTCATGCAACTGACTGTAAAATCGTGCGGTAACACTGGTTACACTGTATTTTGGTGCATCTCTACCTTGGATCCGATTTGATTTGGAGCGAGACAGGCTGCAGGAGAGGTCAAGTTAGTAAGCGTTGTGGCGCTACCCATACCTATTTGTTTGAAGAAATAAACCAGAAAATTAAATTAGGTCCTTACTGTGTTGCCATGGAAACGGCTTGAGGGGTTTGCCGATGATTCTCAGCTGTGTTTTTCTGATATGCCCTCTTTAAGGCTGGGTATCCTCCAGGGACGATTGCTACCTGACTTTTTCTAACATATAAATGACATTACATCAAGTGTAAAAACATGCATTTGTTCATATCAGGGATGTTTCACTTAGAAAACCAGTGATTGAGTCATTTTCGGTTTTCAACCCATTGCAAATATGCAACAAACCCTTTGTATTAATTACCCAGTCAAGTTAGCCTCTGCATTCCCACAGTGGAACCTTTGGCAAGCTCTTGTTTTCATTACAACTGGTTCCTCCGGTTATCTGGCTTGATACAAATGAGAAAGTTGATAAGGAGTGATTTAAGAACAGACTTGTATTTATAACCAGACCTGGAACCAAAAAGGATTTGGCTTTACTCAAGAAGATGTTACCTCATTCTTTTTTGTGTTTGATTGACTCCTCTAACTCCAGCATGTTTTTTTTTTAATATTCTTCAAGGAAACTACCTCATCATGCCATCTGGAAACCTGCAGATAGCCAATGCTACCCAGGACGATGAGGGGCCGTACAAGTGTGCTGCTTACAATCCGGTCACTCAGGAGGTCAAAACATCCACATCCACTGATCGCCTGCGCATTCGCCGTGAGTCTTGGTCTCTAACACCCACACCAATCTTCTTATAACCTTTGAGAAGTTAAAGGCATAAGAACAGCGCTGCCAAGCATGGCCATGTTTGCGTTATGTCATGGGTCTGTTTCGCAGCTGTTGACTTGTTTGGCAGTAGTGTCAGCAGGACGGTTACCATTAAATCTTCATGAAATGCACTGTTAATGGTTTTTAATCCTCCGAATTTGCTTTAGCATCTTCCTCATCTGTCTCCAATTTCATATTTTGCATCCTTATTCTCTTCTTCTCTACCTCTCAGGCTCCACGTCTGAAGCGGTCCGGATCATCTACCCGCCAGCGCCCCGATCCATCATGGTGACCAAAGGCCAGCGGCTGGTGCTGGAGTGCGTGGCCAGCGGCATCCCCACTCCTCAGGTGACATGGGCTAAAGATGGGCTGGACCTGCGCTCTCACAACAACACACGCTTTCTGCTAAGCAACCTGCTGATAGACGCCGTGAGCGACGGGGACTCGGGAACGTACGTCTGCATGGCGCACAACGGCCGGGGCTCGGGCCGATCCGCCACCGTGCTCTACGACGTTCAAGTGTTCGGTGAGCGAATGATTTATCTCATTCTGAGCCTTGACGATTTTTTTTTTTTTTTTGGCTCTGTTTTTGTCTGCGTCATGAAATTTGGGAATTATTTTTTGTCTCCTGTTTGGCGGCCTAGGAGGACAAAGTTCTGTCTGTGTGTGTGCAGAGGCGTAGAAGACATGCTGGAGACAGGGCTCTTTATTCTATAGCTGCTTTTGATTGAACGTGTCGAGGTTATGGATGGCTGTTTTTACAGTGATTTAGTGTGCATGTGTGTGCGTGCATGTTTGCGTTCATGTGTTGTGAGCTTGTCTCTCTGCAGCTGGCTCTAATTAAAGTAGAGAGCGCTGCTGTAGCTGTAATGAGTTCTGTCTTTACCCCCCATTCACAAGCAGCCAACCATCAACTAGCTGGCCTAGCTCACTCTACACACAGAGAAACAAATCCCTTTTCTGTGTACAGTGACTAGCAAAACTATTCACACCCCTTCAACCTATAAGTGTTTTTCTAGCATTATAATCAAAAAATTCAATGTACTTCATCGTATTTTCACAGTATGCTACGGACCAGCATGTGGAGGTGGAGGAAACTAATAAATACTTTTAAACATTTACTTATTGAAATCTAAAAGTGTTGAACTAGTTTAAATACTGACAAAATGAAACTTTAAATCCCTTTTTTGTTTGAAAAATGACCAAATCAGAGTAGATGGGGAGTCAGTGAACATTACTTTTCTCAGTCTTTTTGCAAACTATCAACTGGATTTAGATCTAGACTTTAACTAGGCCATTCTAATATATTAATGCACCTTTTCTTCTATATGTTAGATGTCTCTTCTGCAAAGCTTGTGGTAAACATGGCTTCCTCTCCCTTATGTGTTCATGTTCTGATCAAATGTGCATAGATGCTGTGTTTACAATGAGATTATATTGCACTTTACCAATACTCTAACTTCTGAAGGTGATTGGTGAGAAATGATTTTATGTTTGGGTATTAGCCTAAGCGGAGTAAAAAAAATATCAGATTATTTTATTTGTGAAATGTTAGAAAACACTTATCCTTATTTTCCAATGTCTTAATTATGCCTCACTTTGTCTAGTTTGCATTTTAGACTTTATTTGGGTATATTTGAGTTAACTGTGCTGCATTTAAGTGCATGTAACACATTTCTGGTTTTAGTGCAAAACTTTGAAAAACAACTATTGCTTTCTTTCCACTTGAATAACCAATACAGACTACTTTGTGTTGGCCTTTGTTGCATAGCACACTTGCACCAGCACAGAGTCTTAAAGCTGACATGTACTCCTTCCTCCTGCAGAGCCTCCTCTGGTGACTGTAGAGCTGCAGCAGCAGGAGGTCGCATTGGGAGAAACGGTGCGCATCATCTGCCAGGCCCGAGGTAAGCCCGCCCCCTCGGTGATGTGGCTCCACAACGCCCGACCCATCGCTGCGTCACCCCGCCACCGTGTTACTTCGCGGGCGTTGCGGATCTCCAACGTGAGCTCTCAGGATGACGGCCTGTACCAGTGCATGGCGGAGAACGGGCTGGGCAGCTCACAGGCCTCAGCCCGCCTCATCACCGTATCGACCGGTAAAAGTTACAGATTTGTGTTCATCAATGGGGGATTTTCTCCCATATTTGGAAGCCTTAAAATATAAACGGGTCTTTGCTTGTTTTTTTGTGTAGGGATTTCATCACGTGGAAGGCTGCCTCCAAATTTTCGTCCACTCAGCCCTGATAAAGTGCTAAAAGAACAGCCTCCTGTTAGGACTGGAGCCACAGGGGCCATGCTGCCTCTGGACTGCTCCACATTACCAAGGCAAATATTACCCGCAGAGGCCCCTATTATTCTCAGTCAGCCCCGCACAGGAAAGGCCGACTATTACGAGCTCACCTGGAGGCCTCGGCACGAACGAGGGACCCCTGTGCTGGAGTATGTGATCAAATACAGAAAGGTAAAAAAAGAGCTCTTATTAACTGACTTAATGCACATAAAAACCACTGATTTCTTCTTTGACCAAGTGTTGTGTAACTTCCTAGGAAGGAGACCCTCTTGCGGAGTGGACCACTCGAAGTATCTCAGGCTCCCTTCACAAGCTGACTCTAACCAAACTGCAGCCGGACAGCCTGTATGAAGTAGAAATGGCTGCTAAGAACTGTGCAGGTTTAGGCCAGCCGGCCATGATGACCTTCAGAACAGGCAGAGGTACAACAGCTTTATTTATATCCTAGAGCTTTATGCTCTAATCTAACAAACTGCCTTTTAATCCTATTTTCAATCCAACGTCTTCCTAAATCCCAACACCTCTAATCAAATTCAGAACTGGGCAACATTTGCATCTACTTCCTAAGCTAGTATAGGTATTTTCCCCTGGAGAAGTATTGCAATATGAAGATTTTTATTTGTTTAGAATGTTTCTTTCCACATAATTATGACTCATTGTGTGGTTTGCGGTTGTAAAGTGACAAATCTCTGAATACTTCTCTAAAAACACTGTCATTGATTTTGACTCATTGTTTACAATTCTGGGACAATAATTGCTAGGAGGAAGGCTCTGCAGCTCTAAGGCCTTTTCTTTTTTCTCTCAACAGGGCGTAAAGCTCCAGGAGCATCCAATGACCCGCCAAAAACTCCAGCTGTCCCTTCGCCAAGCCTCTCTCGTAAGCTTCCAGCCTGCGAATGCCTCAGATTCTCCGATTAACCACACTAATGTCACTAAATGACAAAGCTAGGACTAATTTTAGCTACTAACCCTCTAACAGCTCTCTCTCTTGCATTTCTGTCTCTGAAGGATGAGCTCTCAGTAAGTTTGTCACACCAAGGCTGCAATGTTGTTCTCTGTGATTTATTTCTATATTGTTGCCGCATATCTGACCTCTCTCTCCCTGTCCGCAGCTCCTGAAGCTCCAGATAAGCCAACCGTCTCCACGGCTACGGAGACCTCGGCATATGTGACTTGGATTCCTCGGGGTAACCGCGGCTTCCCCATCCAGTCCTTTCGGGTGGAGTACAAGAAGGTGAAGAAGCCTGGTGAGGAATGGGTGACGGCGGTGGAGAACATTCCTCCGTCGAGGCTGTCTGTGGAAATCACGGGACTGGAGAAAGGTTGGTTTGGAGGAGGGGAGTGATCGGATGTCGTTCCATGTAATTACAGCGATGATGCCCTGCATAATTACAGTCCCAGGCTCTGTAAATTTATCACCATCATCTGTGTAGTTAAAGCCATTTTGGTGATTGCTGCCATTAATCAAAACATAACTGAGTTACAATTAACATAACATTTGCTCTGAGAAAGAAAACATGAAACTGCGTAACTCTGTGTTTAGTTTTCAGAGCAGTTTGAAGCCTGCTGAGACTGATTGTTAAATCCTTTCCTTTTAGGTACATCTTATAAGTTTCGTGTGGTCGCTGTGAACGTTATCGGTTCCAGTCCTCCTAGTGCTCCTTCGAAGGCTTACACGGTGGTGGGTGGGAGAACGCACGAGCGTCCCGTTGATGGACCCTACATCACCTACAATGAGGCTATCAATGAGACCACTGTCATCTTGAAGTGGACGGTACGTGTCATGGAAGACGGAAAATGTCCTGAGCTCCTGTCAGCCTCTTTCCCTCCTTTTTCTTTTTACATTTTTGTTTTTTCCTCAGATCTTCCTACCTCCCTCTCTTCCTTGGATCCTACCTTCCTTCTTTGGATCCTTCTTTGGATCCTTTTCGTTCCTTCCTTCCTTGGATCCTTCCTTGGATCCTTCCTTCGATCCTTTCTTGGATCCTTCCTTGGATCCTTCCTTGGATCCTTCCTTGGATCCTTTCTTGGATCCTTCCTTCCTTCTTTGGATCCTTTCTTCCTTCCTTCCTTCCTTCCTTCCTTCCTTCCTTGGATCCTTCCTTC